TTGAAGCTTTATTGTCAGTAAAGTGTTTGGATATAAGGAAAAACCAAACTTTGGGTTTTTAAGCAAATGTGCCTCCTCTCCTTTCCTACATAATAAGAAGTTCAGAATCAGGTGATCCACAACTGCTGTAGGCAGTGTTGGACGCAACATTTTATGCCTTTGCTGTCTGCCATGTTCAGCTTGTTTATTGCTTCATGGTTGCCAGATGACTGCTTTAGCTCCAGGTAGCCTATCTTTACTTAAGGACAGGAAGAAGGAAGGCCAGTTATAGCTTTACCATTAATCAGGATGTAGAAAAGTACCCAAGGGACTTATGCTTATATCCCATCAGCCTCAACCTTGTCATACATACCTTTAGGTTGCATTCCTTTAGTTGCAAATAAGATTGAAGAAGCAAGCATCCTGCTTTGGGCAGAGCATGTGGCTGCCAGAAGCACTACCACAGTTTTGTTTTCAAGGATGAAGGGCAGAGTGAATATTTAGTAGATAATTTATAGTACTGGTCACACTTTTTTAGTGCAAGTTGAGTAATTCATCATACTATCAGAGGCTAATAGAGATAAAACAAAAAGAAGATAATCGAGTCAAAATTGGTTGCTTTGGGTACAGTTTGTAATTAGCACTGACGTAGGTTCTTTACACAGCCCTGAAATCTCTTTACAAAAAAGCATATGTATATAGGGTTTGGGATGTAGAGGCATTGATGTGGAGGAAAGAACAGGTGGTATGGCTACTCGATGTGCTCGGAAGCAGTAGATAAGAGAGGAAGAGAGAGTGGATGTTAGAGGAGGGAGGAAAGAATCACATGTATTGAGTTTCTAGGTTCTGAGCTTCAAAGCCTTTATGTTCATTGTTCATTTCAGCCTTACACCTACTAGGTCAGATACGAGTTATCCCATTTTGTAGAAGAGAAGGTGGAGTCCTTGGGATGTGAAATAACTTATCTAAGACCTACTCACCTAGGAAGTGGTCAGGTTAGAAGTTGTACCCAGGTCTGTCTAATTCCTAAGCATCTGCTTTTTCCAGTGTACCACAATATTCATCTTTTAATACAAACTCTCTCCTTTTTTGCCAAATAGATGATCTGTTACAGACTATTCATAGTACATCTGGATTAGCTATTATTCTTTTTATTAAGACCATGTTTCATCCATCTGAAAAGATTCCTGATTTGGTAAGTACATCTCTCTTTTAGAGTTGTGTTTTATTGAGAGTTAGACATATCTTTTTTGGTTTTTTTTGTAGAGACAGAGTCTCACTTTATTGCCCTCGGTAGAGTACCATGGTGTCACACAGCTCACAGCAACCTCCAACTCCTGGGTTTACACAATTCTCTTGCTTCAGCCTCCTGAGTAGCTGAGACTACAGGTGCCTGCCAGACGCCCGGCTATTTTTCTGTTGCAGTTTGGCTGGGGCTGGGTTTGAACCCACCACACTCGGTATATGGGGCTGGCGCCCTACCCATTGAGCAACAGGGGCCGCCCAAAAGAGTAAAAATATTTTTGAAGATCAATTAAAAAATTTTTTGCATAGTCTGGATCTCTCTGATAATCTGTTCTCTGGCAATAAGAGGCAATTCTAAAAATTTAGATAAAGCTTAAAAAGAAAGTAATAGTCAGATGTAAGTCCATCTCAGAAAGATAATCACTATCAACATTTTTGGTGATTATCTTTCTACTTTTTTCTAGTGCTGTTTGCATTGTTCATTTCCATCTCTCATTAGAATCTTAGAAGATATTTCTCATGTTAAAATTATGCAGAGATTAATATATAGGTATATCATGGTAATAAGTTTCTAATAAATATGTTTTCTTTATTAAGGAGAATCCAAATCATGCACTTCAGATGAGGAGCATGCTAAAGTCATTTGTTCAGTGAATTTGATCCATATGGAAAATATATTGGGATAATTTAGGCCATAGTCCTTTTATTCATGACTCTTAGCAGTTTTTTTTTTTTTTTTGCCTTGATGTATGATCTGGAAATTTATTTTATTGCCTGACCTTATGTAGACTATATGTGCACTATTTTATAAGATCACACAAAGTAATTATCATTGGCCAGAACTTAAGTTATCTCAAAAAAGCATTAATTAAGCTCATTCACCTACAGGTGGCAATGTTTCTTTTTTAAACCAGCACGTACTTATGTTTAATTTATTTCCTTTTAGTAAGAATATAATTTTAATTTTTGTGAATTTTAATATTTGTGGATGTTTTGCCATTAGGTTTAGTTATTTCTCCTAGGAGGTTTCAGGGGAAAGAGATGTTTGGATTTGTATTTTGAAATGTCTCTGAGAAGTTTTAAAAGCTTGATATGCATATTAGCTGTGTTATACTTTTGCAGATTAGCAGTCTGCTTCTTCGTTCAGTGGACTGCACCAGCATTCCCGAGTGGTTTTTAAGCAGCTGCAGAAGCCTTTGTTGTGGTGACATTTCTGGGTCGTCTCTCTTATTCCTGTGTCAGGGGACGCTCGCCATGTTGGACTGGCAGGATGGGAGCATGGGCCTCTGTGGGGAGACCCTGCTCTTGGATACTGCATGTGTTTTGTTCACTTTGAATTCACAGTGAGTCTTGATGCTGCTCTCTTATATTTTGTTTCACTTTTAAGACATTTAAAAGGTACAATGGAGCCAGCACACTTAGTGATTCACTAAACTGGTCAGGATAAATCCTAAATCAGAAAGTGATGTATACGTGTAGAAAAATGAAGTGGGTGTAGAGAAAATGGGACGATGGGGTGAGAGAAAGAGAGAGAGAAATTATTGCTACAGGTTAATCTGTAATTTCTAAAATTAATTTTTAATACTCATTCTCTGTGCTAGCATTTTTAAAAACTATAAAAAATTCTATATGGTTTTTTTTTTTGAGACAGAGCCTCAAGCTATCCCCTTGGGTAGAGTGCTATGGCCTCACTGCTCACAGCAACCTCCAACTCCTGGGCTCAAGCGAGTCTCTTGCCTCAGCCTCCCAAGTAGCTGGGACCACAGGTGCCTGCCACAATGCCCGGCTATTTTTTTGGTTGCAGCCATTATTGTTGTTTGGCAGGCCCAGGCTGGATTCGAACCTGCCACCTTAGGTGTATGTGGCTGGTGCCTTAGGCACTTGAGCCACAGGCACCGAGCCAAAAAATTCTATATGTTAGTGCTTTGGAATTAATTAAGAACTTCAACATAGGTAATCTGAGGTGATCCTCACATGTCTGGTAGAGAGGATAAGAAATCTTTTTTAGTAAAGTGAAGCTTAGAAAAGTAAGAATATATTGCTAGTAAGAACCTCGGTCAGTAACTGTAACAAGGTCTTCTGACTTTCCAGGGCTATATTTTGTGTATTTTTTGATGTTTTTGCCATAATGACTAAAAGTGATCATGAACTTAAACTGTTAAACCAGGGGTCCTCAAACTTTTTAAACAGGGGGCCAGTTCACTGTCCCTCACACTGTTGGAGGGCTGGACTGTGGGCCCCGGGACGAGTCAGCTTCTATGCAGGGCAGGCAGTGGCGGCAAAAACACCCGGCGGGCCGGATAAATGTTCTCGGCGGGCTGCAGGTGGCCCAGGGGTCGTAGTTTGAGGATGCCTGTCATAGATACAGCTTGATAGAAATGAGCACATGGATAAAAGAGGAAGACTACTTTGTTCTAAAGTAATTTTTTACATATTGGAGCTATAATTTATGTACTATATAATTTACACAATAAAGCACTCAGTTCCATGGTTTTAATTTGTTCACATAATTTTGCAGTCATCAACATAAGCAACTTTAGAGTAGAATATTCTTACTATCCCATGAGAAAAACCTCATTTTTCCTAACCTTCCCCAATGCTAGGCCCTTAATATTTTTAAAAACGCCTGTAAAACCATCATTATAATCAAGATAATGAACATTTGCATCACACCCAAAAGTTTCTTTGTGTCCCATTTTGGATTTTTTTTTTCCTCTCTTGGATTATTTTTTGCTAGGTGAAAAAATTCATATACAAATTTGAAGTCTATTTTGGCCTTTGTGATTTTTTTGTTCTTATGTATTTAATAATGATCGGATTTTCTGATCATTCTTTGTACTTAATATTTCTAAAGTTTAAATGATTATAAAATGAAATTTCTTCTACTATTCAGTTTATATTAATGTGGCTCATGGCTTATTTTTCTTCAGGATTAAGGAGTCAACACTGGAAATGTTTCTGTCTAGAATCTTGGCATCTTGGACTAATTCAGCCATACATGTCCTTGAATCAAGTTCTCCAGGCCTAAAGGACAGTCTGAATGGGAAATCAAGCATAGTTGGGAGTCTCTTAGAATATGTTTATACCCACTGGGAACATCCACTGGATGCTCTGAGACACCAAACCAAAATCATATTCAAGAATCTTCTCCAAATGCACCAGCTCACTATGGAAGAGACAGATTTGGTCACTGATCCTTTCTTTTTGGAATTGACTGAGAGTCTTCTGCAGTTGGAATGGCATATTAAAGGAAAGTACACAAGCCTTTGTTGTTTGGTAGAGTGTATAGGAATTGAACGTATTTTGGCAGTAGATAAAACTATTCCATCTCAAATCTTAGAGGTGATGGGGGACCAGTCATTAGTACCTTATGCAAGTGACCTCTTGGAAACCATGTTTAAAAATCATAAAAGTCATTTGAAATCTCGGACTATTGACAGTACTTGGATTGACCAGTGGCATGAGACATGGGTTTCTCCTCTCCTTCTTATACTGTGTAAAGGAACTGTGGATCAAAAATCTTATGTCATTGATTATTACTTGCCAAAATTATTGAATTACAGCCCTGAGAGCCTAAGGTATATGGTAAAGATTCTTCAGACTTCTATTGATGCTAAAACTGGTAAGAAAAATCAGTTTGTCTTCTAGTAACTTCTTGTTATGATGCTTAACTGTCGGTACCTTTGTAGATGTTGACCATATTCAAATTTAAATATTACAACTATTTTGTTTCTTTATTTGACATAGTAAAAGTATGTGTATTTTATATAATTTGCTTGTTCAAATGATTGATACAGTAACTAAAAATTTTGTTTATTTTTAATTAACTCAATTAAAAATAGATAAATTATGGCTAGTTTCTTCTCTGTGAAGGAGACAAAGTTTCGACTTAGGCTGTGGTCATTTAGGAGTGAACATGGCATTGAAATTCAGTTACTTTGATAGAATCATTGCTTTCAAGCATTATTCTGTAATTAGTGTGTAAAATAATGATCCTGAGTCATCATATAAGTCTTCAGGTTATTATTCTGTTTAACAAAGCCAGAATATGGTTTCCTACAGTACAATGTAAGAAATACAGCAGAACCTTTATAGTTCACCTTCCAACATTGACCATCTTCTTTTCATTTGGAGACAGAGTCTCACTATCACCCTTGGTAGAGTGCGTGGTGTTGCAACTCACAGCAACCTCAAATTCTTGGGCTCGAGCTATTCACTTGCCTCAGCCTCCCAAGTAACTGGGACTATAGGCACTTGCCACCACGCCCGGCTATGTTTTAGAAACAGGGTCTTGCTTTGGCTCAGCCTGGTTTTGAACTCCTGAGCTCAAGTGATCTGCCCGCCTCGGCCTCCCAGACTGCTACGATTACAGGCATGAGCCACTGTGCCCATCTCTGACCATGTTCTTAAGTTGACCTAATTTTCATAGACTGGACATGCGCTATATGTATGTATCTGTGTAGTAGGCCTAGTTCCTTATATTGACCACTGCTGTATGTTAACCAGTTTGTTACAGTGCCTGGGGTGGTCAACTTATGGAGATTCTACTGTATTTAACTAAAATGGTTAAAAACTGTTCATACTTCAGTGCAGTAGCAGGAAAATTTTATTCCTTTTCACAGAAAAAAGCCATTATTGGTAACTTTTAATAGTACTTGTTCTTACCTTTATGAGAAGCCATCTAAAATTCAGGATTTGTAACTCTGTTCTGAAGTCAGGTTGTCTTTATTTTTATATCAAGGTACCCTGTAAACCCGAGCTCCTTGCTCCCTTAGTAATGACCTGAACTTGCCTCTGAAACTATCAGGTCCTTTGGGATTCTCCTTTTATCTTCTTTCCTAGTGAGAAACAGTAACTCCAGTATATGCAGAAAGGTTCAATATGTATTTTTAGAGAAATAATTATCTTCAATCATTGAAGTGTTTGGCTGAAAGTTGTTCCTATTTTGTATATACATATATATATATATATATGTATGTATGTATTTTTTTTTTTCCCTAGATTTTCACTCTGTTGCCTGGGCTACAATGCCATGGGATCATCACAGTTCGTAGCAATCTCAGACTCTTGTTTTGTATTGTTTTTAGTATTTCTCCACCTCATTTGTACTTTCTTTTTTTTTTTAGAGACAGAGTTTCACTTTGTCGCCCTTGGTAGAGTGCTGTGGCATCACATCTCACAGCAACCTCACACTCTTGGGTTAAAGCGATCCTCTTGCCTCAGCCTCCCCAGTAGCTAGGATCATAGTTGTCTGCCACAATGCCCAGCTATTTTTTTGTTGCAGTTTGGCCAAGGCTGGGTTTGAACCCATCATCCTTGGTGCTGGTGCCCTACTCACTGAGCCAGGACACTGCCCTGATTTTTACATTCTGATTCATTTTTTTAGTGTCAAAGAAAAAGTGTAAGAGTATTTTTTTTTTTTTTTGAGACAGAGTCTCAAGCTGTCACCCTGGGCAGAGTGCTGTGGCATCACAGCTCACAGCAACCTCCAACTCCTGGGTTCAAGCGAGTCTCCTGCCTCTGCCTCCCAAGCAGCTGGGACCACAGGCGCCTGCTACAAGGCCTGGCCATTTTTTGGTTGCAGCCATCATTGTTGTTTGGCAGGCCTGGGCTGGATTCGAACCCGCCACCTTAGGTGTATGTGGCTAGTGCCTTAGCCACTTGAGCCACAGGCACCGAGCCAGTATAAGAGTATTATGCTTACTTGAAATTATTGACACAAAGACAATTAAATCATTTTAAGTAAAGATTTAAATCTAATCTTTTAAATAAAGATTTAGAATAAGAGCTTTAATTTGTTTTAGGATTTAATTTAAAATGTGATTTTTATTTCTTAAAAAATAATGTTAATTTGAAGCTATAACTGAAAATTATAGTGGTCATTGCATATCACAGTACTAGTCATCTTTGTTATTGGGCTTTCAGGGCAGGTGCAATCTTTTTCATCCTTAGGGTCTTTTAGTAGCAGAGGGGCTCTGGGAGCTTTGATGGCATGTCTACGAATAGCTAGAGCTCATGGACATCTTCAGTCTACACCTGGTATCTGGGAGAACCTTGTGTCCAGTGCAAGAATAAAGCAAGGCTTAATTCATCAGCACTGCCAAGTAAGTAAGCAAAATAACTGAGGATTTGTACATGCAGTAGATCCCTAATTAGTTCATTCATTTAGCAGTTCAGTATAGAGGGTCCTGTGCTGTGCCCAGCATTGTTTCACAAAGTCCATAAAGGATGAATAAAAGGTAACAAATGTAGACCTTGTACTCATTCTACTTAAAGTTAAGTAGAAAAATAAGAAAACTTGCCTAAATTAGTGAGGAACTGTTAGAACTGACAGTATAGAAACAGGTGTGCCATTTTGTGTCCTTATGTACAGACTTGCTTGGTAGGCTCAGAAAAGACCCATGAGAGTAGTGGTGGTTGATTAGGAGAATGATAGCTATGATAGATATGATTAAAGCAGTGGCTCTCAACCTGTAGGCTGTGACCCACAGGAACTGTATTAAAGGCTTGCGGCATTAGGAAGGTTGAGAACCACTGGGTTAGAGGAAGGGTAGCATTGGAGGAGCACACAAAATGGAAGAGCACAAGTGAACACGCTCTGGAGGATGATTAAGGCCATTGCTTATCAGGTCTGTTGTGTCCATTTTATAGAAAGTTCTAGGGCTAGGCTGAAGACGTCATTGCTTTCTAGTAACCAATTGATTTCATTCATTTAAACCAGAGCCATCTTGTCTTTAGCAAGGAAGTGATATTAATAGAAACAGATGAGGTTCGGCGCCTGTGGCTCAAGTGGCTAAGGTGCCAGCCACATACACCTGAGCTGGCAGGTTCGAATCCAGCCTGGGCCTGCCAAACAACAATGATGGCTGCAACCAAAAAATAGCCAGACATTGTGGCGGGCGCCTGTAGTCCCAGCTACTTGGGAGGCTGAGGCAGGAGACTCGCTTGAGCCCAGGAGTTGGAGGTTGCTGTGAGCTGTGATGCCACAGCACTCTACCCAGGGGGACAGCTTGAGGCTCTGTCTCAAAAAAAAAAAAAGAAAAAGAAACAGATGAGTTTCCAGAGTGGGAGCAAGAAGAAACCAGGAAACCAGTTAGAAGCTCAGGGCAGTAATTTAAGAGTGAAGTAACTGGATAAAGTGGTCACTGAAAAAAAATAGAAAAAGAAATGAAGTTGAACATCACCATGGAATAAGAATCTTTAAGATTGTTGAATTTTATAAATCCCTCATTTATACATTTAATAAAATAATTTTATAGAGAGTAACCACAGCATCTTTGGGATTGGGAAACCTTTCTGAGGTACTTATGGGTGAAATGAAGATTCCTTTTTCTCCTTTGGTAGTGTATGTAAAGTGGTTCAGGCTTTGCTTTTTCATTGGAAAATTAGTGTTTTATTACTTGATGTATTTTAGGTACGGATAGATACGTTAGGCTTGCTTTGTGAAAGCAATCGGAGCACAGAAATTGTTTCCACAGAAGAAATGGAGTGGATTCAGTTCTTCATCACATACAACCTGAACTGTCAGTCTCCAGGAGTACGGCAACAGATTTGTTCTCTTCTTAAAAAGGTAGAATTTCCCATCAGAAAGTATAGGGAAATAGTTTTTAAAAGAGCCCAGACTGGGGTAGTGTGGGAATGGTCATGGACTTCAGCTACTACATCTTTTCATGGCCCTTCTGTGACTTGTTCTTTCATTCTTAAAACTTGCATTTGGGATTAAAATCCAGAGTGAAAAGTCCTTTCATTTTGAGGTAGTGAATCAATTTTGAGCTCTTTCTTTGAAAGAAAAAATCCAGAATTGAAGTTCTTAGGATTTACATTGGTTTTAAGAAAACTTTGGTAACAGAGGAAGGATGTCTTTGCATTTTTATGGTTCCTTTAAGCAGCTCATAAAATGGTCTCATTATTGAATAATTGAGCTTGAATTAATCACACAGCACCTTTATGGGTGGAAGACTCATTGGTATAGAAATGAGTATATCATCTTTAGGTTCATGCTGATTTAAAGGAAATAGGAGATCTGTGGTTTAATGACCATATTGTGGTTTATCGTAATACTTTGTCTTTGGTTTTAAAAATTATAAATGTTAATTTTTTGTCAAAGAGAAAAATCTGTAAATATTAAGAATTTAAAAACCAGTATTCTCCTTGGCTTTACTTTCTTCTGAAGTATTTTGCGTTTCAGGCTGACATTTAAGTTTAATGTGTGGCTCACATATGCTTTATTTTATTTTATTTCTTTTTGTCTCAAAAGTTGTTTTGTAGGATACAGGAAAGTTCTCAGGTACTTTACAAATTGGAGCAAAGTAAATCCAAATGTGAGCCAGAGAATGAGTTAACCAGACAACACCCTTCTGTTTCTTTACAGCAGTATAAGGTAGGTGACATACTTCTAGACATACGGATTTTTGAGAAACTTAAAACAATTATGAATAAGCATTAAAGGGAAATAAATAGAAGTCTCTTGAATTGTGTGTATTTCTGTGCTTTTGTCCTTTAAGTTGGGGGTTATGTGTTCCATTTGGTGCTTTGGTATTCCACTGAGGCAGCCTGGGTTGTGGAATGAGTGCCGCACTTGAGGACTGTTACAGAATGACACTAATGGTATAACCTCAGTAACTTACAGCCTACATGGGCCAGGTGAATTTAGTACTTTATCAAAAAGGTAATTGCCAGCCCTGAACTCTTCCACTCTTCCTGAGGGCAGAAGACTCTGCTCACTACCTACTCTGAATATTATTATTATTATTATTGTTGTTATTTTTTATTGAGACAGAGTCTCACTTTGTCACCCTCAGTAGAGTGTTCTGGCATCATAGCTCACAGCAACCTTAAACTCTTGGGCTCTGATGTTAGTGACTCTTGGCCAATGGTCCATCTGTGCAGAGAAGTTCCTGGTCTATTTCACTTCATACTGAGCTTGAAGAGTAGGGCTAGTTTCAGAGCACTCTGTTAATGGAATGGATGGAACCCCAGGTGCGGCACCTCCACTCTGGACCAGGGCTCAACCTGACAGTCTTTACTTTCTTTTTAGCAGAACACATTGAGCTTTTCACTGGTTACTTCCCCAAAACTAGCTTTGGAGAAGTAGACCCTTGTTTTCCCCCTAAGGTCCAAATGTAAGACTGAGCTCATCTACTTTATTTTATTTAGATTATTAGATTAATTATACATTTTTTATACATTATTAGATGAATGATACATTTAGGCCACTAGATTAATTATACTTTATCAGATTAATGATATACATGCTCACTGCCTACTCTGAATATTATTATTATTATTATGTTTTATTGAGACAGAGTCTCACTTTGTCACCCTCAGTAGAGTGCTGTGGCGTCATAGCTTACAGCAACCTTAAACTCTTGGGCTCAAGTGATTCCCTTGCCTTTGCCACCTTAGTAGGTCCTACAGGTGCCCCACACAATGCCCAGCTAAACTCTGAACATTATTATGAATGCCCTTGTTTTTAATTTTTTTTTTTTTTTTTTTTTTTGAGATAGAGCCTCAAGCTGTC